CCTTCCAGTGAGCACTCAGGGTTGATTCCCTTCAAAATGGATAGGTTTGTTCTCCTTGCAGTCCAGGGGACTCTCAAGAGCCTCCTCCAGCACCACAGTTCAAAAGCATCAATTCTTCGGCAGTCAGCTTTCTTTATGGTCCAGCTCTCACTTCCATACATTGCTACTGGAAAAACCATAGCTTTGACTATTCGGACTTTTGTTGGCAATGTGATGTCTCTGCTTTTTAAGATGCTGTTGAGGTTTGTCATTGTTTTCCTCCCAAGAAGCAGTAGTCTTTTAATTTTGTGGCTACTTTCACCATCTGCACTGATCATGGAGCCCAAGGAAAAAAAATCTGTCACTGCCTCCGTATCTTCCCCTTCTATTTGCCAGGAGGTGATGGGACCAGTGACCATGATCTTAGTTTTTTGATGTTGAGCTCCAGACCATTTTTTGCACTCTCCTCTTTCATCCTCATTACAAGGTTCTTTAATTCCTCCTCACTTTATGCCATCAGAGTGGTATCATCTGGTTGTTGATATTTCTTCCGGCAATCTTGATTCCGGTTTGGGATTCCTCCAGTCCAGCCTTTCGCATGATGTATGCTGCCTATAAGTTAAGTAAGCAGGGGGACAAAATACAGCCTTGTCGTACTCCTTTCCCAATTTTGAACCAATCAGTGTTTCCATATCCAGTTCTAACTGTTGCTTCCTGTCCCACGTATAGGTTTCTCAGGAGAGTATAAATGTATAGTATTGGTTAAACAGCACATTAGCTTCTGCACGTTAGAAAAGGAGAGAAAGAGAACATAAATCTTGAGACATTAATCTCTCCAGAAATTATACAAAGAAAGAGAAGGATGGATAAGTAGCCAAATATTTGTGTGCCTTGTACCCAAGGCGGGTACTTGGCCATATCACTAGTGTTAACATGCTGTTTCTGCTTATAATGTACATGGTTTCAATGAGTATTTAAAAAACCAAACAGGAACAACTACAATAAGATTTAAAATTTCAAAAGAGAAACTAAACACCAGAACTCCTGTGACTGCAGGGGATCAGTTCTACCATATACCATGGATGCTTGAAACTGCAAATTGGAGGGAACCCTATATACAGTATATAAGGGGGCTTGACAGGGGACAAAAAGAGACCAGACAAATGCAAGAGGGCCCCGTGTATGTTGCATATAGGGCTGCAACAAATCATGGATAAGCGATACCATGGATATCAGTCTTGCGGATACAGGGGACCTACTGTATAAAACTGACTTTCCTCAAAATATTTTTAGGCTCCTGAATCCCAGTCTGGAGTGTTTTTAAACTCCAGTCATTCTGAACTACCATAATCACTGGCTGGAGATGGTGGAAGTAGTAGGCCAACTATGTCTCAGGATCTAAACCAAGGAAAGGCCTACCAAGCAATTATATCCTAGAATCAAGGCTGGAGAGGCAGTTACCTGAGGTGGCAAATGCTGGTTGATATGAAGGAGGAAACTCCAAGGGTTCTCTGATAGTTGCAGGGAAGAACTGTGTGTTGTGGGTAGCCTGGCATGCACCCTCTTAGCTAGAAAATGCTGTTTAATCATCTATGTTAAAGTAAGCTTCCCCTGATAGTCCATTTGGCCACTGTAAATGATGTGGAGCATGGCATTCCTCACCTCAGCCATAAAAATTTCTTGGGTTAACCTTTTTAGCTTGTTAAAGAATAAGGGCAAGCAAGGCAACCAAGACAGTACTTTTTCTGCTTTTTTGTAATTCTAAATTATGAAATATACTATTTTCAGATTCTTGGCACTGGATTCAGTTTTGCATCTCCTATTCTATTCTGTTCCCACGCCTTGGGACGTGGTGGCGCTGCGGGTTAAACCACAGAAGCCTCTGTGCTGTAAGGTCTCTAGATCTTCAGCTGTAAGATTGAATTCATGTGACAGAGTGAGTGCCCATCGCTTGTCCCAGCTCCTGCCAACCTAGCGGTTCGAAAGCATGCAAATGCAAGTAGATAAATAGGGACCACCTTGGTGGGAAGGCAGCAGTGTTCAGTGTCTAAGTCGCACTGGCTATGTGACCACGGAAAGATTGTCTTTGGACAAAACGCTACCTCTATGGCTTGGAAACGGGGATGAACACTGACCCCTAGAGTCAAACATGACTGGACAAAAATTGTCAAGGGGAACCTTTACCTTTACCTATTCTAGCCGCTGCAATAATTTACTGAAATTTTTGAGTTTGCACAGAGCAGATTAAGTATAAGCATGAGTATAAAAAAACCAAACAGATCAGATTCATGAATAATATACCCCCTTGATACATATGTGTGTGTGCCAGCAAATAAAAGAATAATCATACAGTTATAGTAAACTTTAAGAATGTTTACTGGAAAAATGTTGAAAAATAAACTGACAGTAATTAAACATTTGACCTGGTATAGATTTGGTTTGTGCTTGACAAACCTATAACAGTTTCATAACGTACATTTATTCAGGCAGCCCTAGCATCCTCTTTAGTAACATACTGAACAGTGGGCACCTAGCAACTAACAGTCCTAACTGAACACTAACATACCAACAGACATATTAACAGACAGGTTTCATATTAACTGTCACTTTTTCTTATATCTGACAGTTAACCTTCTAAGCACTTATTGGCTGACACTAGACACAATCTGATTGGTTTTCTTTTGCAAATAACACATTCATTCTTATATACACATATATACACATATACATGCTGGGTTGCATACTATTTATAGCATAACTTTCCCTATTTACCTGTCATTAATAATAACTGCATACTGCCAAGTCAATTCCAACTTATGGCAACACTTTCCAGGGTATTCTAGGTAGAGAATACACAGAAGTTATTTACCATTCCCTTCTTCTTGGCTTGCCCTGGGAATATGCAGCTTGTCCAAGACCACACAGGCTGATTCTTCTCTTGTGAGATGTAGTACGGAATTGAAGTCCCAACCTTTGGCTTAGCATCCAGGTACCTAAACCACTGAGCTATTACATGTCCTCAAATATATATATATATATTAATATGACAATTCTGGAGTGAATAATCACTTTTCCATTTATTGGTCAATATTAGTACAGTACTTGTTTCCCGCTGGAAATGGAATCTAGGACCTGCTTTCTCTCGCAAAAAGGCTCCTTTGATAATACATCCTTCAGCTGGAGGATCCTCGCCTCCACCCCACATCACAGCTGACCCCATTCAGTTGGATTGTCCTGTTCACCTAGATAACATTTTTGGGGATTTGGAAGGGTTGTTGTGGAATGGAGGAGAGAAAATTCTGCTTCCACAAGGCCAGCTGCATATACCTGACTTTAGATCCCACTATCTCAGCCTCTTTCACTTGCTGCTAGCAGCGGTTATAATCACACCAACACCACACCAGTTAAATTTCAGAGTGGTTTGTTAATGATAGCAGTTAATATTCTCTGCTGAGTTTGAAACTAGTCTTTCATGCACACTGGGATGACCTAACCTGGATTTCTTCTGCCTGCAACATAGCTCTTTTGCAGCCTATTTATGTGTCCCAGTGAATATATATGTCTTTGCAAAAGCTCTCTGCAAAATTCTCTTTAGGGAAATAAGACAGGCAAACTGTTGCTTAAGGGCCTCCAGTACAGTAATGTTATTTCCCACTAGATGGGAGTATAACATTTCTGACAGTAAAAAGCCAACTAATATATCAGCGAAAACCAGCGATAACTCTCTTAAGCTACAGGGAATGTTCTTAGCATACCAGCTGAGGAATTCATATTACTAATAGATGAAATCAACAAGATAATAATCTCTTACTACAAATGACCTTGATGTGTCTGATGTAAAGCTCTGGATCAAATTCTGATGAAGTGCATATAATACAGCTCAGAGAGGCATCCTTGGTGCCAGCCCAGTCTGGAGGGGGGTGGGGGGAAGCATCCAGTTTTTAAAGACTAAATGTGTTTGTGCTCAGTAGTTATCCCCGTTCCTTCAGTTAGGCCCCATTTTGCTGCCTGAAGTGAAAAACAAGTGATGTTACACACCCCTCAGGTCCAGCAAAAACTTGCTAGGCTGGCAATTAAGATTTTTTGCAGTGTGACAATAGGCTACCATCTTCTGCCATGCCAAGCCAAGCCGACTTTGTGGCACCCAGCACTACCATCCATCGCAGGTCATTCTCCACCAGCAACCACATCACTGTTGTTGCACAGTTAAGCAAATGTTATAGCTTTTGGAAGTGACTTGCTATAAGTTAAGAAACTTCCAGAGGCATTCTCTATTGCGTACTGAGTTGTGTGACTCAGCGTGCAACAGGTAATATCTACAGAAATGTTTTATTCAATGGCAATTCACTTCTAAAGATTACACCTTTTGCATAACTGTGCCACAGACTTTGAGCCTCTGTCTAACAGCAGTGCTGACTTTCTCTACAAACTAGGTCTGAGGTGGTATTTCTTCACACAATATTTCAAAATTGGGGATATACCCTCTTGAAGATCACAAAGAAGCATGTCCCTCCCAGTGCAAATTCCTCCCTCAAAAAACAAGTGGAAACTGAAAGAACAATAACTTTATTCTTGAGAGTACAGTATTCTGTGTTTCAGTCAGTTTTGTATTGAAACAAAATAAGATCTGGAGACATCATCACTTCAGTGTTTTGACAATAACATTTTTGTACTTCATATTTAGCCTGTTCTGGGTATAATTTGTAGTGGTTTTGTATTTAATTGCCGCAATACTGCACCATCATATTTTATTATTATTAATTATCTAGGTTTCCATTGGTTCCTTCTCTGTTTTTGAGGTGGTTGCGCGGGGCACAGTGTTGTGATTTTGTTCTCTCGTATACTCCCTAAATTATAACTGCATTTTAATTTAATTATTTCCAAAAGAGAAAAATAACCTTTAGTTCAAAGCAAAAGATTATTACAGAATCTGTATGCTTGCTCTAGAAAATCAAACTACAGATAATTCCCCCCCTCCCAGTTTCTTACTTAAAGCATGGGCATGTTGATGCAACTTTGTTGTGCTGACATCTTATTTCACAAGAAAGGAACTCCATTCTATTTTTCCCACCCAGGAAGAATCTCTATTTACTTAGAAATGTGGTAATTACGTAACTCTGCATAGAACTGTGATGAGGATTGGCTGTTTGCAAATGATGATGCTAGCAAAGCCTGTGCTTCATTTCAGCTCCTCTGCACCAGTAAGGATGTGTTTAGATAGGCAATGGAGTGGCTGGGATTATGCTATAGTATTTTCCTGAAGTGGCAGAAGTACAAAAAAGCTAAATCAATGTGGCCATGTTTTGAGTGAGGGAAAAGGGTTGATCCGTGGGCTGGATTTCCTTACTTAGGGTGGGTATATCTTCGGCAATAATGTTTTGCTTTATACCAAGAGAGTTGGTTCCTTTGATGAACCTCCCTGTTTTTGAAAATATAGAAAGACATATAGGTCAATGTTGGTGGTGGAGAACTATTTTTACTAAACAGATAGAAGACGTTTTTTAAAACCCTCTGTGCAAACTCTATAAATAATAAAGCAAAATGTATAAATAAGGAAAGCTTTAAAAGCTTTTGGACTTAATTTTTCTGAACAAGCTAGATCTGTGAGGAAACTCACAAAGGAGAGGAAGTCGTCATTATCTTCCAATGGCAGGGCCTCTCTGTTCTGCAAGGTACTTCTTACAGATATCCACCCTGTATGAACAGTTGGTACACAGTGCAAATTTCCTCCCAGGAAACTCACTCCATAATCGTATATGCTCCATCCAGCTAATATGCTAATCCAGCCCAAGGAAGAGTAGAAAGCCACAATTTTCACACCATGATTGCTACTCTAAATTGCCAACTTTGGTAACAGACACAAACAGAGGTTTGAATTTTTCAGAATGTGGTAGAGCTACAGAATCAGTGAATAACAGCCATAATTAAAAAGATGTCAAAAAGAAAGCAAAGTACAATCTCCATTATTAGTTTCTGTAGGGAATAGAAATATGGAAACCAGTCATCAACCTTAACTCTATAGAGGGACTGATACCACCATCCAATGTGACACCAGCCAAATTGTGCATTTCTTTTGAACCACTAGAAAAATATGTCGAAATTGCAAGTGTGGGCAAGAGGAGCATGATGTTCCCACAAGCAATGAGGATGACCGTAAAGTGGGGAAACTCTTTGAGGATACAAAATATACCACTCTTATTGCCAAGCTGAAGACGGATGGTATCCCTATGTATAAGCGCAACGTGATGATATTGACCAATCCTGTGGCGGCAAAGAAGAATGTGTCCATCAATACTGTAACTTATGAATGGGCACCTCCTGTTCAAAATCAAACTCTGGTAAGATACCATGATATAAAAGGTTGTGTTTTCTTTAATGAAAATGAGAAGGAATAAAACTTCATCATGAAGAAGTGAAGTGCACAGGTCATTGAGAATGCATGTATTATTTTGTTCTGGATCACTGCCTCGTTTTGTTTTGGTGCAAAAGAGCTTTCCTCAATTTGATACTCTCCAGATGTTTTGGGCTTCCGTTCTCATCAGCCACAGCCAGCTTAGCCCACGGCCAGGACTGTTGGGAGCTGCAGTCCATAGTTATGTATTATTTTGTTCCGGATCACTGCCTTGTTTTGTTTTGGTGCGAAACAGCTTTCCTCAATGTTTTGGGCTTCAGTTCTCGTCAGCCACAGCTAGCATAGACCATGACCAGGACTGTTGGGAGCTGCAGTCCATAGTATCTTTGAGGCACCAAATTGGAGAAGACTGATATAAAATGAATTCAAAGTGTAAGTGCTCATCACAGTAGCTAGAAGTCATGGATCCTACTGAAAATGTAAATTTGGTGGAATTTGGTTTGGTCATTCTTTTCTCTTGCCGGTCTCTGCTAAAGCAGGTGAATTCTGAACAACGAAGTACTTAACCAGCCCTGTGCAAGGGACAGAAGGGAAATAGGTGTGTTTGGTTATACATGATAAGTGCAGTGAGGGAGAGACATTGTGTTAATGGCAAGGATTAAAAACTGCATTAGAGACCTTTACTACCACTTAGGATGATTTATGAATTCCCAAGTGAAGCATTTTAAAAGGGCTTCCAGAAATGAGACGTAGCATTGGAAAACTGGCTCAGTTTATGTCATTGTTTAAAAGCTGAGAAAAACACTCAAGGCTCCACATTTCTTTTACTGTATATGGTCAGAACGAATTTGGAGTTGTCATCCAAAAAGACAAGCTCTCTTGGTATTATTAACAGTTCCTCTAGATGAGATAGTTGGATAGCCTTGTTGGGTATTTTTTTAAAAAAAAAGTTAATCCTGAGTCAAGTTTATGTAGTGTCACATTGTGTGATCTAAAGCAGGAGGCTAGAGATCTGTGTAATCATACAGGAGCTTTAGGGAGTTTTAAGAAAAAAAATGTTTGCATGCAGGTATTAGTTTTTATTACTGTACATCTTTGAATTTTAATATCAGCTTGTTTAAACAAGCTAAGCAGCTGGAGATCACGTGCTCCTCATCCCATCCTACAAACATATAACTTCTCCTTTATGGAAGAAAAATTGGTTGCAATTACTCTGAAATCTAATGCACTCTAACTGCCTGAAGATACTCAGTGTTAACTAAACATTGTTAGAGCCGTTACTGCACTGAAATAAACACTGGGTTTTATGTTATGAAACCTCTAAATGCAGCTTTACTTGTCATTGGCTTCTACTGTCTCAGTAATTCAGTGTGGCTTAATGTCCCTGCACTTTCACCACCACTCTACACCTTGGTATCCATTCCCACCAAACAGTCCATCGCCACTGTGCTTAAATGCTACTAAATCTCCCTTTGGTTGCCTTCCCTTTTTGTCTGTTTGAAAAGCTGGGATCCCCCAGGCATCTGATCCCTAATGGTAGCAATTCTCTCCTGACTTTTTAGGCGAGACATTACATGCAGATGCTTCCAAAAGAGAAGCAACCCGTGGCTGGCTCTGAAGGGGCTCAGTATAGAAAGAAGCAGTTGGCGAAGCAGCTGCCTGCTCACGATCAGGATCCATCCAAATGCCACGAGCTCACTCCTAATGAGGTGAAGCAGATGGAGCAGTTTGTGAAGAAATACAAGAGTGAAGCGCTTGGGGTGGGAGACGTCAAGCTCCCGAGCGAAGTCGAAGGCAAGGCTGGAGAGAAGCATGTCCCGAATAATGGAGAGAAGGGCACCACAGCCACTGTAGGAGCCATGGAAGACAAGCGGGCAGCTCAGAAGGGGTCCCAATATGTAAGTCTCTCTCTCTCTCTCTCTCTCTCTCTCTGTGTGTGTGTGTACATGTTCATGCATGCATCATGCAGATAAATGGTAGTAAAGCATCATATTTTTCTTTTTTTAATTTTGAATATCCTGCTGTATTCTTCCTGTATGCACTGCTCTGTTTATCATGCATGCATCATGCAGATAAATAGTAAAGCATCATATTTTTCTTATTTTAATTTTGAATATCCCGCTATATTCTTCCTGTATGCACTGCTCTGTTTATTGAAAATTGCTAGTGTTTTATTATTGGGGGTTACCGTGTTTTTCCCCCCACAAGCTCAAATAAAGAAGCTAACAGTAAATGCCCCTGCCAGTCTTCTCTCACCATAGCTGCAAGTGTTCTGAAATTGTCATGTTGGGGAGATGAGAGGTAATGGCTAGCAAACAGAAACATGACATCTACAATTTTTCCCTGTTGCTCATATTTAACATGACAGGCTTTAATGTGAAGAGCATTCCTATCTGGAGAACAACCCTTGAATTAGTGGGATTAATGCAACTGCTGACACCGTCCAATAACTGATTGGATCTACTCTAGTCAGGATGTCTTGTTGGCCATACAATTTTTGAATTCTAGGTGATCCTTAAGGTTATCTAGTCCAGCCCTGGGAATCTTGCAGTTACAGCATCCCTCACAGGTGGCTGTGTGACTATCTACTTCAATTTCTCTATCAGACGAGAGGCGGCCACCTCCCATAGCAGTCCACTCTGAAACAGTGTTTACCCTGAAGGCGTTTTCCCCAAGGTTTAGCCAAAGTCCACTTCATTGCCATTTCCCCTGGTTCAGTTCCTACTCCTGCTTTCTGGAGCAATAAACAACAATTCTGCCACACCTCCTACGTGACAATCACTCAGCTGCTACCCCAGGACCTTCACATAATGTGCCGCACTCCATTCCTGCATAGAGATCAATATTTAGATTCTTGAGAAATGTTTTGCTATATTTAAACGGGAGCCATTACATTTCCAGAAAAAATAGTGTGGTGACGGTGTTTCCTTTTCAAGGTAAAAAGCCATTAAACCTTGCAGGAAAATAAACCTTCTTTGATGAAGAGGAAGGCAGCTGGATGCTGAGCAAAAGCTAGGGAAGACATGCAGTTTTTTTTCCTCTTCCTTCACATAGTGCATGCCAGTGGAGAATGGCCATTAGTTTAATTTACTGTGAAGTCTCATGGCTTGACTCTCATGGCTTCATTTACTGCACACTAAAAGTAATAGGTGTGGAGTTAGCAGGGAATCTGGACAATAAGTTCTGAACGTACTAAGGGCTCAGTTAAGAGATAAGGCTGGACTATACTGTAGTTTAGGGCTATGAGATATTGTCTGGGAAAGCTTTGTCTTGCACACTTTCCCTTTCCTCTCTTCTTCCAGAGGCAACTTTAAAATGTCTGCTTCTTGCCTTAAATTGATGTTTCCCCTTAGGTTTGAATTGTGGGGCCTGGTGAGTTTAAACCATGGTCTCCGGAAACAAGCCAGAATGAGAAACCATGGTCTATCTGTGACTTGTTTCAATAAATTGTATTTTGTACTAACTGCTCTGCCTTCTTCTGGCATCCAGTGACAAACTACAGTCAGTGTAAAAATAGGTGTGGATGCATCCAATCTCTTCCCACCACCTTACACTAGGAAAACATTAGCATTACATCTGAATATTGCCTGTATAAAGAGTTTTCAGTGGGTAGAGTCCAAAGCAGTATCAGGTTAACTCCATCAGCCTCTGGGATCCTTTGGGCAAAACCCAGTATTTGAACAGCTAGAACAGATCCTTTTGAATCAGTGGATGTGTATTGTTTGTGATTAACAAACACTATTTGTTTCAGTAGTTCTGTTCCAGTCAGATTTAGATCCTAGGCTTGAAAGAAAATGCACAATCTTGCTAGTTCCCACCTCCACCCATCATCCCACATAACAAGCTGCTTTAAAAACCGAGGGAATTATTGTTAAGCTCAGCAGTTTAGATATCTGGCTGTGGAGCCAGATGTTGAGAGTTCAGTTCCCCGCTGTGCCTCCTTAACAGGGGCTGGACTTGATGCTCCATAGGGTACCTTCCAGTTCGATAGCTCTAAGATGATTATTATAATGCTGAGGAAGATTATGAGGGCATAAACTGGTTCATGGCCATGACCTGGCCTTAGGGATACAGACTGATAAACTGTGTAGTAACTTCTATAGCAGAAAGCATGCAGCATCACTGTGAAACAACAGTTCCGCCTGTGTTGTCCACACCTAGTGGATCCTCCATGTTATGAATTATTTTGTTTGGTTGACTTCTGTTATCTTCCATTCCTCCTCTCCTAGTTTATAATCTCTCTGCAGGAATCCAACTTGTGGAAATTCATAGTTCCTAAGGAAGATTCTTATCTTCTCTGGCTTTTCAATTTTTTTTAAAATCAGGCATGGATCTTTCCCCCCTTCCCCCAATCATATGATTAGAGCTAGTGTCAAGGAAATCTTGACATTCTTCAACCATGAATTGTCTGTGGTGTTAGTGGAATAAAATGTTGCTCTGTTTGAGATGTGGGGATTTTTATCTCTTTCTTGGTTTTTTTTAAATTATTTCTGTAAGCCTTTGGAACACAGTGAAAGATTTCTCAGAGAGATGCTTAAGCTTGAGTGCCTCTATTTGGGCCTTAACCTTTCTTTTCAACCATGAAGCTTCGTTTTCTAAAGCATTTTCTAAACCTCAGGCCCTGAGGTCCAGTCTAGCCCTCCTGGAGTTTCCCGCATGGTCATATTCCTTTCCCCATGATACTTTTGTTTGGTGGTTTCCTAGGTTCTGTGTGGTTTTTCCCTATTCTATAATGCCTGTGTTAAGGCTTATTTACTGTCTGTAGGAGCTTTGAGCTAAAATACGCTGTGAGTTTGGGGTCCTACAATTTTTCCTTTGGTCACATGAGCAGCTGGAACATAGGGCCTGACAACTTCCCTGAAGCTAAATTTGGCAGTGGCCTACAAGAGTTTTATCTCCCCCCCTAAAATAAATGTCCTTTATGTCTTGTTATATAAACTACATTAGTTCTTATGGATTAGTATGTAGTAATTACCATCGAGCAGACTTCTACAGTCTCTGTCTTGAGAATCTGGTAATGTCTCTTAAGAGCGTGGGACCCGCGAATAGAAGAGGATGGAGTGCATTTCTTGACCTGGATCAGATGTTGGAACCTCCAATTTCAGCATCCATTAGCTTATAAAATAGCAATACAGTGGTATCTCACTTGACGATGTTAATTCGTTCCAGAATTACCATCGAGCAGACTTCTACAGTCTCTGTCTTGAGAATCTGGTAATGTCTCTTAAGAGCGTGGGACCCGCGAATAGAAGAGGATGGAGTGCATTTCTTGACCTGGATCAGATGTTGGAACCTCCAATTTCAGCATCCATTAGCTTATAAAATAGCAATACAGTGGTATCTCACTTGACGATGTTAATTCGTTCCAGCGAAATCGCTGTAGAGCGAAAACATCATCAAATGAAACAAAAAAACCCATTGAAATGCATTGAAAACCGTTCAATGCGTTCCAGTGGGCTGAATACCTGCTTGTCCAGCGAAGATCCTCCATACGGCGGCCATTTTCGGTGCCTGTAGAGCGAGGAATCTGTCCTAGAAAACAGCGGGGGGGCATTTTCTTCAGCTGGTTGCCATTTTGAAACCCGATGATCAGCTGTTTACTGATCGTCGTAAAGCGAAAATTGGTTCCCGAAGCAGGGAACCGATCATCGTTATACGAAAAAGCCCCATTTTAAAACATCGTTTTGCGATCGCAAAAGCGATCGGAAGAAACCTAATTGTATAGCGATTTCCTCATTAAGCGAGGCAATCGTTAAATGAGGCACGACTGTACCCTCTTTTTTCTTTTCTTTTTCTTTTTGGCATGCAGAAGTGTCTTTCTGAGAGCTCTGAATAACTCTTATGGTTTCCTTGCAGTTCTGTTTCCGATGCAAACAAAGCATGAAAGAAGGTGACCCAGCTGTCTATGCTGAGCGGGCCGGGTATGACAAACTCTGGCATCCAGCTTGTTTTGTCTGCTGTACCTGCAGTGAACTTCTGGTAGACATGATCTACTTCTGGAAGAATGGGAAACTCTACTGTGGCCGACACTACTGCGACAGTGAGAAACCCCGCTGTGCTGGATGTGATGAGGTAAGCAAGGTTCGCTTCTGCTGCTTCCACTAGAGCAGTGGTTCCCAACCTTGGGTGTGTGATGAGGTAAGCAAGGTTCGCTCCTGCTGCTTCCTCTAGAGCAGTGGTTTCCAACCTTGGGTAACCCACATGTTCTTGGACTGCAACTCCCATAAATGCAGGTGCGCACAGGTGGTGTTGAAGTCTTCTGGGAATTGCAGTCCAAGAGCACCTGGGATATCCAAGGTTGGGAACTACTGCTCTAGAGCTTGAAAAGGCTGTTTCTTTGGACTGAATGTTTGACAAGCACTCAGGAGACTTGGGTTCGAATTTCCACTTGGCAGTAAAGCTCACTGGAACACCTCCGGCCACACATACTCAGATTGACCTGCCTCACATGGTCGTTGTGAGGGTGAATTGGGCAGGATAGTCTTGTATTCTACCTTTCAGCTCACTGAAAGAAAGGCAGGATGTACATGTAGCAAATAAATAAAGTAATAGTTCCCAAAAGTTTTCTAAATTTGGTCCTTCACGAAAGAAGCCATAGAAAATATGTGCCTGCAAGAATTGGCTTAATCAGTCCTATAGGGGATCTGCTTTTTTTTCTAGCACTGACCAATCAGATACCACTAACGGGCAGAACATAATGATGATTGCAATCTGCTTGCATCTACACTTGTGCTGGAAGCTAAGCATAGTCTGAGTACAGAGGTTCTGTTTAGATTTTACCGCTAGTAGACATTCATAAATGTCCAAACTTGGGCCCATCTCTATATCCCTGGTAATGAATGTCACAAGCTATTCTTATGTTGTGTGAAGAATTATTTCATTCCCTGCTCCCTTCCTGAATATACCATAATTTCTGCTAATCGGCTTCCAAGGATATTCCGACTGCCACCTTGTGACATACTTTAAGTAGACAGTGCAGCATTTGAGGAAAGGGGGCAGTATTCTGTTAGATATTACAAAGAATGGGGCAGCTTCATTCAGCGGCACTTCTAAAATGGAAGGACCTATTTCACTGGTTTTCCCTGCAGGCCCCCAGGACCCCCTCCAATAATCTGAAAATTCCACCAGCTCCCCAAAGCAGAATTTCAAGAGCTCCTGAAAATGCTTGGGGTGGCCTCCCTCTTTTTCTCAGATTTTGTCTCGCCATCTTCTTGTTTGTTTGTTTGTTTGTTTTTTGTTTTTTTGTTTATAGGGTCAAAAAACTGAGGAGGGGGAGCCAATTTCTAGGCTGGTCTCTTGTTTTGATCTCTCTTGGACTTTACTTTCCCTTTGATTGGGTGCAATGGACCAATTTTGGTTACCATAAGCAGAAGAAAATTAAAGGACAGGCAGTCCTGCAGTTCTTCTCATGGTTAGGTTTTAATCCAAGGAGGAGAGGGATTTGATGGTTTGTAGCATTCACTTGTTCTATCAATGTGGGCTTCAAGGAAGCCTGGGATTTCTTTCTTCAGTGTGGCTTGGGTGAACATCATAAATAACTCTAGGTTCTGGTGTATACAGCAGTGAAGGTGGGACTCGTTTTGCCCCTAGACAGGCTGCTTGAAATCCCTACTTCATCTTGGGGTGTCACATACTCCTCTAACATCTGTTACATCATAAGTACCATGTAAAGCACACTATCCCATTTTGCTGAACAGGAGGCTTGACTCACAAATATAGCAGCAACTTCCATCAAGTAAATCTGTATCACATTTTCTCTTTGGGGGAGGCAAAGGTCCGCCGTTTCTACTGACTGCTTTCAGCAGAAATCTCCGGAATGCTCTGCTGCGTGAAAAAGTTATGAATGTTAAATGGAATGAGCTGAATTCATAACAGAACTGTGCCGTTTATTAAATGGGAAATGGACCTCAGTTGATAAGACATTCTAGAAGAAAACAATTGTGCAGTTAAGAGTATTGTGTCTCTGATATCCTTGTCTTTCTGCAGCTTATATTCAGCAATGAGTACACCCAGGCAGAAGGTCAAAGCTGGCATCTGAAACATTTTTGCTGTTTTGATTGTGACTCTGTCCTGGCCGGAGAGATCTATGTTATGGTGAAAGAAAAGCCTGTCTGCAAACCTTGCTATGTGAAGAACCATGCCGTGGTAAGAGAACCAAAACCTGCCTGATACTTACAACTCCCATATCCAGTTATGCGCATAATTGCACTTTCTCATACTTTACATAGAGTAATACATTTGATGATGATGGTGGTGATGAAAACAGGGATGTGGGCTGGGAAGACAAAATTGCCAAGATTATTCAACACTATTCATATCCAGTCAGAAGCAACTTCTATTAAGTTTTGTGGAGTGTACTTCAAGGTCAGATTGCAGCCATACCACAGCACTCCCAGTGCAAATAAACTCCATCTTGTAAATGTTAAAATCCAAGACTTCATAATAGTATAAATTGGTGACTCTTGGTGTCGCGGTTATGGAGGCAGCAAATGTTGTGGTGATAGAAAAGGTAGCTTTTGTGGACTAGTCGTATTACAGAAAATGGTCATTAAGTAATAGAAACAATTCCATTTACAGTGGTGCCTCGCATAGCGAGGTTAATCCGTTCCGGATTAACCTTCGCTATGCTGAAGCATCGTTGAACGGGGCAGGGATTTCCATACTCACCGTTCAGCGATGCTTCGGGATGGCCGGCAGCCATTTTCGCGCCCTCGCCTCGCTTAACGAGGGCGTGAAAACGCTGCGCGAGGCCATTTTGGGCCATTTCCAGGCTTCCGGCGGCCATTTTGGCCGCCGAACAGCTGATCGTCAGGGTTCGTTTTGTGAAGATCGGTAAGCGAAACGCTTACCTGTCTTCGCAAAGCGAATTTTCCCCTATTGGAAAAACGTTGAGCAATCGCATTAGCGATCCGAAAAAACGGATCGCTATGCGATTTCGTCGTTATACGGTGCGCTCGTTAAGCGAGGCACCACTGTATTTTTCAATCAAGCAATTCTACCTGACAATATTATAATTTTATGCTGGTGAGTTCTGGCTTCTGCCTACTTTTCCAGGGTTTTCTAGGCATAAAGCCATCAGAAGTGGTTTGCCATTCTTTTCTTCTGGGGGCACCCTGGGGCTGTGTGTCACGTTCCCGGGGGTCACAACAGCTGAAGTCCGATAAGCCAGTCCAGGGTCAAGAATACCAAGAATGCAAAGCCAATGTCCATAAATCAACTCACAGAATGAAGTCCAGTTTCAAAGTCCGATACACAGCGTAGTCCAGGGTCAGAGTCCGAAGTCCAATACCAGCCTAGTCCAAGGGCAGAGTCCAGAGTTCAGGAACACAGTACAAGAAGCGTGGAGGCAAGCCAAGGTTTTGACTCTTTGCTTCCACAGAATTTCTGGCTTTACTGGGAGCTGTTTTATAGTAAAACAGCTCCTTGAGCTGCTGGAAAGCTTTCTATCCTGTTAATACTCAGGACTAGATGATCGTAGGTTTCTGTGGACAGCCTTTGAGCGATCCTCTGATCTTCTTGTCCTAAGTCTTTCCCGAAGCCTGGCCCGAAGCTTGTCTGCCGTGGAAGGAGAATCTGGAGGCGGTTCAGGTGTTTCCGATCTCTCAGCATTCTCTTCAGCCTCAGTTAACCCTTCTGGTTCCAGGTCTTCGGATGCACTCATGACACTGTGCAGTTTGCCCAAGGCCACATAGGCTGGCTGTACTCTCAGGAGGGACTCTCTTATAATGGTGGGGTATCCAACTCCCAACCCCTGGCTCTGTAGCCAGATACCCAACTTGCTGAGCTGTCCAGCCAGCTCTCTAGTCAACATAATTGTATATAAATTAACAGATTAACTGACATGTGAAACTCAATATGTGTTACACTTGAGTGTCTATCATTTGAGTCCTGAGTATTCTTATAAAGGATTTCTCTGAGCTTCCAGGGTGGGGCATCTTGCAACCTAAGAAGCAGCATCCCTCCTGGGTCAGGTAACTAGTAGTTTTTGGCTTTCAATGTTCTGATTGAAGTACTCCTCCGGTGTTGCTTTGGTGACTCTGTCCTATGCTTTTTGACAAGACACAGTCAGAACAGGAAACTTCCATGGATAAATTGTTGAAATAGGCACAGCACACCTGAGAAATGAAATGTCTCCTCAGGATGATTCTCCATGTTTACTCTTTTTTATAAGATAGTCCCTCTTGTGTACTCCATGTGCAGCAACACTTTTCTATTTCTGCTAACTGGTCACACAGCTCAGTGAGTTGGAGTACCTGGTTGTGGAGCCAGGGGTTGTGAATTGACTGAGCTACGCAGTCCCAGAGTACTTGGAGAAGAAGGGAATGGTAAACTATTTCTGAGTAATATATATCTAGAAAACTCTGGAAAAGGTTTGCCATAAGTTTGAATTGACTTGATGGCATGTATTTACAGTGGTACCTCGACTTAAGAACTTAATCGGTATTGGGACTGCGTTCTTCAGTCGAAACGTTCCTCAGTTGAAGCACCATTTCCCGTAGGAATGCATTGAAAACCATTTAATCCGTACCTGCTGTTTTTCATTCTTAAGTCGAGGCGCTGTTCTTAAGTCGAAGCATTAGTTCCCATAGGAACTAATGCAAAGCCGGTTAATCCATATCTACCACTAGGGGGTGAATTTTTCTTCTTCTTTTGACCTAAGGTGAACTTAGGTCAAAAAAGGGCAGGAAAGGTTTTTCTTTTCTTTTTTCTTTTGGTTCTTTAGGCTCCATTCTCAAGTGAAAGCAACTTTTTGCGAACGGAGCCGTTCTGAACTCAAATCGTTCTTATGTAGGGACATTCTTAAGTCAAGGTACCACTGTATATTATTTCACTGAGCAGAATTGTTTGACTGAAATATAAATGAGAAGAGTCACTATAAGGTAGAATTGACTTCAACCACACATAATTTATTTCTACTAAAATCCCATGAACACTTCTTTGGAATTGTTTCTGTATGCATGTTACCCCTGCTCTTATCAGGGTAAAACAGAGGTGGAGAAACATGTGCCTATCCAAATGTTGAATTTCAACCCCTATCATCATCACTCCAACATCTACAGGCCCACAGATTCCCACCTAAAAGGTCAAGTGCATATTTATGAGAATATTTTCTAGACTCCACATCAGTTTGTCCAGTTAATGACTTCCCCAGGATGTTCTTTGATCTACCTACACTATTGTTTTAGCAGGTAGTAATGCATTTTTAAAAGGATGTTTATTAACAAGGTTCAATATGTTACTACTGTTTAGTTTTCCTCCTCTTAATGGGCTTTTTTTTTGGTCTGCTTTGCTGTTTGGGATTTTTTTAATCTATAAATTATAGTTTCCCATCAACAGAACCTACTGTTCATAGGAGTATTTGATACTCCCATCCCACTCCAGTTCTGTTAATTATTTGAAATGAGCTGGCTTAACAACATTTCCTTGTGTCCTTCAGTACATTGTTTTCTAAAGAACTTGCTGGTGCATGACACCTCATTACTGCAGAGGTGAAGGGGTGGGGAGCACAGTCTTTAAGCTACTACAAGAGGCATTTCAGTGGCCTACTTCTTTCAGACAGTGGATGGTGTGATAAAGATTGTGAGTTGACTGTACCAATGTGCATCTCTCTTTCTTTCATTGCTTATTTAATCTAATGTTGTTTTTATGATGTTGCTGTGGACTTGCAGCAATCTATGAACTAGTGGCCTTGAAAATTTCCTGTCACGAAGAGCCCTGCTTAAGTTTGCACTCAAGGCTATGGCTTCCTTTATTGAGTCAATTTTCACCTCATATTTGGTCTTCCTCTTTTCTTGCTGCCTTCAACTTTTGCCAGCATTATCTCTTCTGGTGTACCTTGTTTTCTCATGATGTGCCCAAACTATGATAGCCATAATAAAATGATATAAACACAGAATCTCTGTATTTAAAAAAAAAAAACCAGCCTATTAGGAAATAAGATTCATTGTCAAGCATCCTCGCCACATAATTGAGGCTGCCGTGCTATATCTATGAGTAAGTTGCACAGAACTCATAATCAATGGAGCTTACTTCTGGGTGAACATGTGTTGGATGATTGAAACTGTATGGAGAGAGAGAAGAGGGCCACAACTCGTGATCTCATAGAGCTCCCAGTTGCAGAGAGAGCCTATGCATATACAACAGGCTTCTCTATATGTAGATGGCGGAGGATGCATTCCTAATAGTGTAGAGTGATTACCTGGCAAGAGCTAGAATGTGACCTAACATTCTCCAAAGTGCTGATCAGATTTATAGGGGAGAATTAGGAGAGGGCCATGGCTAAACAGCCAAAGGGGGTAGGCTCTGCATGGACAAAGCTACATAACCTGCCCCTCGTATCTCCAAGTAGAATGGGGAAAACTGCTACTCAAAACTGTGGAAAGCTTCTACCAAGCAGTGATGATGACAGCATGTGGACAGACCTACCAAGGATCTTAATTGGGAAAAAAGCAGCTTCCTATGTTCCAAACCCTCTTTTTCTGTGTATAAGTAAATTTGTTTTATGGAAGATAGTTTAGTCTTTTGAGTCTTTGTGGTACCAGGCTCCTGGTTTGTTGATGGAAAGCAGGGGGTGTTGAAGAAGCCTTGGCAGTTGACAAAATATTTTAGCTGCCATCCTATGCCTATGTACTTATTTTCGTTAAGCTGTGTGGGACCTCTTTCTGAGCAAATGAAGTATAAGGTCACAATCATCACTTAATAAATTGTGGCATTAGTTGTGGTGTCTGGGGAGAAAGGGAGAATGTGGAGGAACTGAAGTATGAAATATCATTATTATACTGGTAATGATATTAATAGTAGAATTTAACTGTTGCTGGTCAGTGACAAGGAACTCTTGGGTACAGGAGAGAGGGCCTTCTCTGATGCTGCTCCCAGACTTTGGAACTCCCTCCCACAGGAGCCCAGGCTGATGCCACCTTTACTGTCCTTCCACAAGCAGGTGAAGACCTTTCTCTTCAGACTGACTTTCCTTTAGTGATTGGCTCTCCTGAGAGGGGTTGTTTTTAATGGAGTGTTGTACTTTACTGCCTGTAAATGTGTTTTGCTGTTGCTTTTGTATACCATTTCTAATCTGTTATTTGTTTGATCCTTTTAAATGTTTGTATACTCACAGTTGTTAGCTTTAAATACTGTCTTTTAATGATGTAAGCCATCTTGGGTCCTTTTTAAGGAGAAAGGTGGGATAAAAATATTTAAAATAAATAAATTGCCCTTATTCTTAATGTGAGTACTAGGCTGGTATCTTCAGCAATTTGGTAAGTGTGGTGTTTCGACTTTGCACAACATTGCCACCCAGTGGAGGCCTCTTCAAAGCATTCAACATAGCGGCTGTCAATAGATGCAGGACGAGAAAGCTGGTAGGAGGGCAAGACAGTACTTTTTGCCTGTCCCACCTATAGCGTCTCCCTGAATAGGATGGATCCTTATCAAGGAGGCAAAATTGCCCATTGCCACGACTGTTCCCCTCTTCAGAATGACTTCAGAGGGAAATTCAGAGCAAGGATATACTTGATTGCTCGTTCGTTGACATTTATTTCCACCTTCCCCCCACTGAGCTGAAGGCAACATACTTGGCCTCCTTCCTCATCCCAGCAGCCTGTGAGGTAAGACAAAGGGGAACAAAGGCCAGCATCATTTGGCAGGCAAATCTTAGGTTTTGCTAGAAGGATGATCAAATAATCAAATGCAAGCTGCAAATGTATTGCCATACAAACTATAAATACAGGTGGTGACCCTATAGTCTTGTGATCTCTTTTGAATGGTATGAAGTCTTATTGTGTGTTTAAGATGCAAATAATGTTACAATCTATTGATTCCATGAGCTACCAAGTGCTTGGACTAGAGCAGACATTTTCGACTTTTTTTTGTTTTGTTGGTTGGTTGTTGTTTTTTGCCATAGCGTAAAGATAATATGAGAGAAATATAGGGCGAATCAGAACTGTGTGTGTCACATAACAAATCTCATAAGGGTGTGTGTGAAGAATTGTCTGCAGTCTGTGTCTCTGTTCAGATGTGCCCGGGGGGGGGCATATGGCCCCATTGCGAATAGCTGGACTAGAGAACTGCACAGCTAATTCCACATGCACAGGCATAATCTGGCTGGCATAATCAACTGAATGAAATTTGCAATGTGGATTGTCATTTAAAAAGCTGTTTCTAACATGAGATTTAAATTTCAGCTAAACATAAGCACGCGTGTGTGTGTACATGCACACACACACACTTGGGAGAACTTCAAGTAGCAAAAGAAGGTTAAGAAGACCCTTCACTTATTTTGCAATCTGAATCAGGGGAAATTGGCTGTCATTTCTTGAATTCTATCTTTCTGTTCTTTCATTCCCCATCGTGATCACACTATATTATTGTTTAAATGTTTTATGATTGTGATGTTTTATTGTATTTAATGATATTTTATGATATTTGTAAGCCGCCCTGAGTAGACACTGCCTAGGGGGCAGGGTAGAAATTGAATGAATGAATGAATGAATGAATGAATGAATGAATGAATGAATAAATAAATAAATAAATAAAAGTGATGATAATACAGTAATTATCACCATGATAAGTATTATCATCACTTATCATAGTGATAAGCGATGTGGCTGCAACTATTAACACCATCCTGCCCTTAACGCACAGGGCTTTGTTGTCTTCTAAAACTTGAAAATAATGCATGCTGTTTTTTCTTCTTAACTCCCTAGGTCTGCCAAGGTTGCCACAATGCTATTGACCCTGAAGTTCAGCGTGTGAGTTACAACAGCTTCAACTGGCATGCTACCACAGAGTGCTTCTTGTGCTCCTGCTGTAGCAAGTGTCTCATTGGGCAGAAGTTTATGCCAGTAGAAGGAATGGTCTTCTGCTCAGTGGAATGCAAGAAAAAAATGATGTCCTAATGGGGAGGCGATCAAATTGAAACCAAGCCTAGCCTTTATTTCAGAATCCTCTGCATTTCTACTGTACTGGGGCTTTTTAAACAAAATTAAAAATGTTACATGGTGAATTCCAAAGATTTTATATTACTAACTTGATTACTTGTAATTAAGTCCCTGTGCCCTTCTGTGTTCGTAGTGCTTTTGATTAATTGTCTTAAGCTCAAAGCAGAGTCAAAATGTGAATCTGATTCAGGGCAAGATCGTTGTGGTCTGCAAGAAAGGGCTCAGTCTTTAGCAGTTCCTTAAAATAAAAGGAAAAAAGCTTTCTAAACAATATGTAACATATGAGAGGGAATGCTGAAATGAAAACTTTTTATTCTGATGTGCTGTTTTTATCAATGCTGAAAAATTTCACAATGGAAAGTCACATTTGAAACCCTGGTCTTCTGAAATAGCCGGTGCTGATTCGGTGCAGCCTCAATTATGCTGCTGTGATTTTTAAAACTATCCAGTTGTCTTTTATCATTTTGATCAGGCACCAATGTCTCAAAGACGTGAGTTTCAAGGTACATAGTGAAATGTTTTTCTTCCCTAGATCAGAACTTAATTTTTTTAAAACTGAAATTCATATGGGACTTAGAGTGTAACTAGATGCTTGTTGAAATGAAGTTTTGCAAAAATGCAGAGCCCCCTGACTTTTTAAAAACTCCCTGTATATATTTCCTGTCATGTTTGTTGGCCTCTGTCAAATGTTTCACCCACCAAAAGAGGCAATAAGCAATATTTCTGTCTGTTGAAGCTCAATTACATGAATGAATGTGCTAGTGCAGGCCAACACTTCTCTTCTGCTTCCTAGATTGTCAAGCTTATTTTCATTACTTCAGGTATTATTTTTCTCAACAATTTTTAAAATGTAATAGTAAAGTGAGGCAGCCTTTTGTGGATGGCAGAACATGACTTCCATAATAAATAAATAAATAAATAATCCCTAGTGACTGCAGAAATTATCTGGGGAGCAAACAAACTACACAGTATATTGTGTAGCCCACCCCTGCACCCCTGTTTAAATGGAGAGACATTTTATTTGGTGGTAAGATCACCTTAGTGCTATACTTGTGGGTGCCACCCTTCTCTATGGCATCTTTGTTGCCCATTTGATACGCTCCTCAGAGCCCTGATTTCTGAGAGTGTACGTAGTTACGTGACACAATTGCAGCAGTTTGATACTACTTTAATCATTATAGCTGAACTCTATGGAATCCTAGGTGGTGAGGGACTGTGAATTCTATGTTGTAGTTCAAGGGAGCATATGGGAGCTCTCTACAGAAAGTTCTAAATACCTAATCAAATGACAAGTTCCAAGAGTCCATAGGAAGAGCCACGACAGTAAACGCAGTATCTCATTTCTGTACCTAACCTTCAGAAGTTTGTAAAGGATTCTCTTCGAGTACACCTGGTTTCTACTATAGTGTTTGTTTGGTTTTTTGCCAAGCAGCATAAAGAATGGTGAACAAAGATGCAGTCATGATCTCGCAGGCGGCGGGGAATGTAACTAATGTGCCCTCCCACATTTCTCTTTCACCTTCTGCAGTGCCTAAGCTTAAATTACTAAAGCAAGCTTAAATTATATTGTTGGTGAAATACATCCCCAGGAGCTGTTTCTACCATTGAAAATGAAGATGGTGTTTTTTGACAGGGGTGGCTCTAAATCAATTGGAACCCAAGTCTATTTTTGCATAAAATACCTCCCAATCTGCAGCTTAGGAGTCCAAACAAAGTGTAAGAGAACATTAGAGAAGGTTGCAGGTCATTTGTGGAATGTGTACAGTATATGCCAAAGGTCCCAATTCAGCCTTCCTGTCTCCATGTAAGCTGGTGAGGGTATCTTGGCAGCAACCCCGTTCAATCCTGGCCAGTCACTGTAAAGGTAATTTTGAGCTAGATGAACCAACAAAAGCATGCTGGTCCTTCTTTACCATGAATGTAAGAAACTACGTAGCAAACGAATAGAATAGGGCTGTTGACTTTGTTACCTATGCAAACTATTTCAGCTCAGCAGTTCTAACATTAAGGGGATCAATATACCTGTAATTAAAATTCTAAAATAAAATTCTTCTCTTGGATCATTTCTGAGTTTTTAATACTGTATGTTTTGTTTTGCCTTCTGATCATTGCAATTACTCTGCTAATCCAGCAGGGGGGGACAGCTTCAAAGATAAAACCAGCTTTCTGAATTTTCAGCATAGAGATGGAAAGAAAAATGAGGTCTTCACTTTCCTAGTTTGAGCTACTGACATTGGGGCTTCCATTTATTTAAAATAAATTGAAATTTATTTTCGGCCTTTGCCTAAAAAGGACCTAAATTGGCTTGTAGGAGCTGATATTTAAAACCTGAAGGTCAGAAATCCTCCATTACTGTTCTGTGGCGTCCTGCATGATTAGAGTATATAAATGCTGTCTTGTTATTAAAACCATAACCGTTAGGTTCTGCTTTGTTACTTAAATTATTGTTTGCATATTATCCCATGACTCAAGTCACCATTTCACCCAGCTCTGTGATGTTCTTAAGGTGAGGGAGAGTGACCTGCGTAAAACCACCTAATGAACTTGGCGACCCAGGGCATTTTAGAATCTTGATCTCCGAGGGTACAGTTTAGCAACCAGAATGCTTCCCCATGCTGGATTTTTCAAAAGTGGTTTGGTTTTTTGTTATTTCATTCTGTAAGCATACTTCACTTTCCTCCCCTCCCTTTTTGGCAGGGGGGGTATTTAAAGCATCCTTGTTAGAAATTCTTTGTGCTGTTTATCATAGTTGGCATTTAATGTATTTATTACAGTTTTTTTGTTCGTTGTTGAAATGTTTTCCAGGTGCTTCTAAAATTCCTGCTTTCATAGATTTAACAATTCATATCAGGGTTAAAATTAGTACAGTATTCTAAACTTTCTTCCCTAACAAATACCAGCTTTTCAGACTATAAACATTTGTCTTCCTATGTTATTCTGCATGCTTTCAAACTTTCTTATCCTGTTTGGGAAACTCAAGATGATTTTCAGACTTTTGTCTGTCTGGATATTACTTCTGTCACTCTTTTTGTATGCATGGACTGCTTAAAATGGGTTCTTTGTTCATCTGGTTTCTTTCCACGGGATTTAATAAGCTTTTCTTGCCTTTTTTTCTTTTCTTGCTCACCTGTCCTGTAAAAGAGTACAATCGCCGTATATTCTATGTGTTGAATACTTTGAATATCTGACATGCAGCATAGGAGTATTTGATTTATACGTTTCCATTTGCTTTTTCTTTCTTAACCTGAAATAAATCCTGTGCAGTTAAGACTGCACTTGTGGTCTTAATTTCTTTTCTTTTTTTAATTAACAGTTAACAATAATTCATGCACCATTTTTATCTGTTCGAGAGAAAACTTAATCGCCTGTCCTTTTTCTACATTTTATAAACTGTTACTTTGTTTTTTCAATACATTGAAAATCCTGCTAAGAAGATAATTTTATGCATTACCTTGATAATTATAGTGATGTAGCAGAGTTACCATTGAGATAATAACAATCTTGCATGCTTTCTAACACTGGTATCAGTGGAAGAGAGGTTTTAGGAGCTAATAGGATTTTTCTTTCCTGCTGATCTATTGGCAAAGTTATTTTCCTCACCTCTGGCTTGCCCTTTCCCTCTTCCTATTTAATTGTTTATTTCATTTCCTTTGTTTATTAGTCTAGCTCTCCTTTTCCCAACCCCTGAGGATGCAGGAAGCATGTGGAGACCCCATTTTTCATATCTTACTACTGAGGGTAACTATAGACAACAACTGTAAGCAAATTTACCTCTTGTTTTTCACATAAAATGCTTCCTGCATGATTTTTAACATATAAAGTGCTAGCCATTGTGAAAAGGAGTGGGCTACTGAGCCTTGTGGCGCAGTGGTTAAACCGCTGTATTGCAGCTAAAACTGTGCTCACGACCTGGGGTTCAAATCCCAGGTAGCCGGCTCAAGGTTGCCTCAGCCTTCTATCCTTCCGAGGTCGGTAAAATGAATACCCAGCTTGCTGGGGGGGGGGCAATGTGTAGCCTGCATAATTAAATTGTAAACCGCCCAGAGAGTGCTTGAAGTGCTATGGGGCGGTATATAAGCAGCACGCTTTTGCTTTACTTAAGCTGTTCTCTCACACCTTCTCTGTGCAATTGTTGTTTGTACATGATACTCTCCTAACTAAAAGGAATCAACCAAATTTTCCAATAATTACATCTGAGGAAAAAAATGAACTGTAATAATGCCAAATGAAGCCAGTTGGTCTTGAAGGTGCCACAAGACTAATTTTGTTGCAACAAACACACATGGTTCCCCGTTGAGAAAGAAAGTGTAGCATTTACATTTTCTCCTTAAGAGTCTATAGTTAGCTGTCAGTATCCTGTTCAATATTTACACATCCAGAACTTCCAACTGTCTTACAATGTGCCATGGCTGCATGAGATTGGCACCTCCTCAAACTGCTGCAGTAGCTTCACTATTGGCGTGATACATCTGCATAAATATTGAACAGGATACTAGCCAATATATTTTTAAAAGTTAACGAATTAATGATGGAGGAAGATGGAGCTAGATTTCTTTTGCCATATTTAGTGGCCTTGGTGATGATTGGTTGACGCATGCAAGTTATTGTCTCCTGATTCTAAAAAAAAAAAGACTTCAAGTGAAACTTTCAGTGTTGTAACTTTGCTCTCAAATAACTAGTACCCTATGATCTAGATACCATAGTATATAAATGTTTTGAAACATCTGTCTGTACAGAAGAATGAATCTTTAAAATAGACACTGTTGGCTGCTGGATGTAACAAGGTACAGTTATATTTCTGAATACTAAACGCTACAAAAATAGCTCATATTCCTTCATGATCATGGAAGATACATTTGAAAGCACTGGAATTAGAAGCTAACAATAATATACAAGGAATTAGAAGCTGAGAATACAATTAGTCCCATACTTTAAGCCAATGTTAAAGAAGCTTAGTTCAAAGAAGGAAAACATCTGATGTGACTTATCAAAATGCAAGTATGGTTCACTTATTTGAGTTACAGTACCTTCATTTCTGTCCTTCTTATTGGACTGTGCACTCTCCCAAAGAGTCTTGCAGATAAATTAACAAACTACACTTTACTGAAATTGCAGGCTATGAACACTATGAAAAAACCTAAAATAATACTGAAACTGATCCTAGCCTTGCTTCCCTGGGAATTAATCCCATTGAATTCAGTGCGGCTTAGTTCTAAGAATGAAAAACCATGCATAAAACTGCACTGTTAAAAGCATTACAAATAGTTTCAGATAAAAACCATTACTCAAAAACATCTTCCAAAGCAAACTGAGATAAAGTTTTTAGTTCTCTAAAAGCCAGCAAAAGAATGTTTGCCATAAGTGTTTTTGCCTAGAAACGTACTTGACATGAGAGGCCGAGATGCTAAAATACGTTGGATTGGCAAAAGACCCTGTTCTGTTTCAAGAGTTCTGTTTAAAGGAGAGTTTTGCCGGGGTCTATATAGCCCTCAGCATAAACAGAAAGCCAATCTGCTCTAAAAGGAAAGGAGCTGCTGATTGGTTGGTTTTTCCCTTTCCTCTGTAGTCCATTGTACCATACTGTATCTTAGTCCAGTCCCCAGCCTTCATGAAAATGTGTTGCGGGGGGGGGGAGGGGAAACCGAAAGGTTTGTGGCATTTTGCTGTTTCTTTACCTATTCGTTTATCCTTTAATACAGTGGTTCCCAACCTTAGGTCCCCAGATGTTCTTGGACTACAACTCCCAGAGATCCTGGCCAACAAAAGTAATAGTGAGACCTTCTCAAAGTTTTAGTCCAAGATCATCTGGGGATGAAGAATTGGGAACCACTGCTGTGACCTATAAGGGAACATGTCTCATGAGAACTTACATAAGGCACGGCAGTTCCTGTCCTCAAATTGTAAGTCCAAAAAGACGTGATACATAAAGGAAAGGGGAAGGCAATGGGAAGGAAAATAAGAGTTTCAAGCACAACTTTTCGGTGCTGTGAGATTTCTTAGCATTGTGAAATGGCTATTGGATTTTCACATCAGGGAGAAATTCTTTGCACACTGATAAACTGTTGTGGGGAATGGAGCTTACCTTTGCAGTGTGGGAGGCTGTTGTAGCAAACAGAATTGTGGTTTGCAACCTGGGATTCTATTACATTGCCATTTACGTATGAATAACATACAGAGCTCTGTTTTGCAGTCCAGGAAGGTACTGTATCCCATTTCTGCTAGGTATTATTCCTGGTAGATGTACCTAGAGTTTGGCTTGCTTTATATGTTTGGTGGGGAAATGCCCCAAACAGTAAGAATTGTATCTGTTTCCACCCCTTTAATTTGGCTATGTTGAATACCCTGTATCTCTCACACTTCTAGACTGTGACCCTCAAGATCTTTTCCAAATTGGAATTCAGCCCCTCCGGTGGAAGAAGAGAACATACCCTGCCTTATATGAAAAAATATATTACCTTTCCATCCACCTTCCAACCTATTCTGATCACCATAGAGAATTCCCATCTCTTTTTAAATATTTTGTTGAATTTCGGAAGAGAATGACAAAACAGAATGTGTCTATTTACAAAGCTTTGTCATCATTCCACGAAGGTCAAGATGTTTGGCAGTGCTCTGGAAATCTTAGGAGGCAATAGGTTACCAGCCAAAATGCAGAGCTGCCTTGTATGGTAAGAGAGTGTATACTACTATATACAGCCGTAATATACTATGCACCTTCTATCATGGGCTAGGCCTTAGTTATGTAGTGCTAAGTGTTTAGGAGACACCACAAAATGTAAATAATATTTCTTTAATAAGAAAAGATGAAACAGTCATGAAGGAAAACCTACAAAACTTAAAATGTGGGAAAGGTTTTTTCTATTTGCTAAATTCATTGCCTAGAGTCCAGATCTCAACAGATGCAGTTTCAGATCCACAAATATTGGAAATCAGAAGATCTGGGAGACTCCCTCATCTGCCTCAAGCCCTATCTACCGTTTTCATTATTGTCCATCTGAAGTGTCTAATATGGAAGATGGGGACATACAATGTCTTAATTATTACTAGCATCCAAACACTGAAGCT